AGACAAGAGGGAACACAGCATCTTTGGAAAAAATGGTAGCCCTTGTTCTGTGAGGTTGTGGGCAGGAGATGCTACAGTTGAATTGGGCTCCCTGATTTTAACAGAGATGAGGTCCAGGTGGCAGAGGGCAAGCAGGGAGGCTTCCATTGCTGGAGGGCTGGAATAGTAATCAGGATGATAAAATCTGTAAGGCTTCGTATGATAATCAGCTTATCATGGGTCCCTAAGACCAAAATACATGGGAAGACCACCAAGATCCTACTTCAATGAGCATTTAGATCTGGAGATTGTCATTCTAAGTGAAGTAAGCCAGAAAGAGAAAGATAAATACCATGTGATATCGCTTATATGTGGAATCTTTGAAAAAGGACACGAATGAACTTACTACAACACAGAAGCAGACTCACAAACATAGAAGATAAACGTGGTTACCAGTGGGCCAAAGGAGTGGGAAGGGGTAAATCGAGAGTTTGAAATCTGCACCTCGTGGGGAGTGATGGAAATGTTAGGTGCCTTGATTGTGGCGGTGGTTTCATACGTATTTACATCCATCAAAATTCATCAAATTGTACATCTGTAATATGTGTAGTCTACTGTATAGGAATTATACCACAATGAAGGTGTTTTAAAATGAAAATAAAAGAAATGGACTCTAAATCAATCAATCACAGAAACATAAAGAAACAGAAAGGAATTTAATACAGAGCATTGGCTGTTTGCGAAATTATTAGAAGGCTGGAGAAGCAGACTCTAGACTGAGACTCTAGAAATGGCTCCCTGATTAAGACCATAGAACCAGCCCCCGAAGGAACTCCTGGTCTGCCACAATAAGAAACCTTGGGAATCAGGAAGCCATTACCAGATCAGGTGGCCCCAGGCATACAGTACCTGGTAGATCTATGCCAACAAAAAACACTCCCTCCCTCCAGATCTCTTTCCACTCAACTCATGTCCCACCAAAGTGCACTGACTGGAAAAACTTATATTACATCTAGATCCACAGCTGTAAGGGAGTCTGGAAAAAGTAGGTTAAAGATTATCTGCCTCTAGAGAACAGGAAAGCTCACTGGAAAGATGTGGGAACTGATATGAGCAAGTCAGTCAGTCGTAACTGCTGTAGTTTTCTGCCCCATCCCCCAAAAAGAAAAGTTTAGATCAGGAAGAAGCCTGTCTTAAGCCCCATGATAGAGAATGACAGGATCTTATCCAGTTCTAAAACCAGGATCAGCTCTTAGACCCAGAGCACTTTGAATAAAGGGAAATCCAGGTACCCTTGAGGAAGGAGTTTGCAAGAACATCACAGGAATGCACTGTGCGTCTACCTCCCAACCTCCCCCCATAGGAACCTGGCGGCATTTACAAGAGTAGCTGTGTACTGAGGGGAAGGAAATACCCCAACCTGCAGGGATTATTGGCTTTATTACCTAGACTTACTGGCTCCAAACTAACTCTAATCTCTGAAAATGCAGAACAACACTATAGTTCACCAGTTAGACTGAAAGCTTATGTGAGGGTCATTATAGCTGTCATTTTGATCACTATTCTTTTCCAGGCAAATCCGAAAATCACATTCTCCAATTTCCTTTGCCGCTAAGATAAGCTATGTGATTTAGATTCTACCAATCCGATGCACCACGTGAGGCTTAGGAGGGAGGTAGGTGAGGAAGTGGGTTCCATTTGGGGCATCTACGTGCTGGCATGGATAGCAGAGGCAGCATGGCTCTGAAGCCCAAGCTGTGGAGGTTGTTATTCAACAGGGCATGTCCTGACTTGGAAATTTCCCAGTCTTCGCAGAGGCAACGGCTCCCTTGGCAGACCCATTCTGCTATGTCACTTGGGGAGATGTTAAAAATTAAGCCTAGATTCTGTTTCTCCAACTCTCCTAATGATTCTTTGAGTTATCTAGAGCTCTTATGAATCCCTTGTTAAAACAGCCAGAGTAGTTTCTGTTGATTGCAGCTGAGAATCTGACCATTTCAAAGCATCAGATGCCAATGGAGTTTTGACCTAAGTCTGTCTTTCATGAGCCCAATGGTACCCTGGATCCAACCAATGGTTTTTTCCCCTGATATCTGAAATGGAATGAAAGTAGTCAATAAATAGCTCCCTGACCTATGGAGTAAGGATTATGGTGTAAGAAGAGTCAGTAACACTACATCTCTAAGAGATCAATAGAGATTAGTGCCACATAAAAATTGGATAAATTCAGGGTTGATCACTCTGGTCACCTCCCCCATTAACTTGTCATTTTCCCTGTGTAGAATATAAGCAGACATTAGGGAATGATAATTTTATAATTTATCATGTATCTATTCCAATAGAAATCACTGATTCAGATCAGGTCTACTTACTAGAACAGATCACAACAGTCCTTAGCACCTGATATGGGAAACTCTTTTTTCTCTATTCCAATAAGCAAAGGATACCAGGATACATTTGCATTCACCTGCAGAGATAGCAATACATCTTTTCCAGGAAGTGCAGAGAATCAGACCTAGTGGGTAAGCAAACAGAAGCATTCTCCAAATCACACTGAAGGATTGCTCCAGGAAGACACCACTGCTGTCACTGCTGGCCACAGACACTGCAGCTCAAACTATTGATGTTGGGCGCTGCACATCCCTGCAGAACCACCATTACTGTTGCCTCAGTAAACTACATGTCTCAGCCCCTGTCCTGTTTCTACCATATTAGATTCCACTAGGCACTTCCTTCACCTCCAAAGTCTTGTGTGGGAGCACCTGATTGGCAGAGCCACACCACATGTCCTAGCTGCAATGGAAGTTGGAAAAAGCACATTTCTGGCTTCTCCCTTGGGGAGTCTCAGGCTCAAGATGGAGAATTCCCCAAATAGAGATAGAGAGAAGGTATAGAGTGGTAGGAGAGAAAGACGGTGTAAGTGGGAAGAGAATCGGAGAAGATCTTGACCAGTTGCATATTAAGGATGAAGCACTAGAGAAAATATCACACTCTCGATGCTCAGGCAACTCACTAGAGCCATCTTGGACCCAGAGACACCATCCAGCTTCCAACCACGATCTTGGGTTTTCCTGAGTATCTACATTACTTTAATGTCCTAGGTTTACTCTTATGTAACCCCTCCCCCAATGGCTTGACCAATCTGTAGCAAACTGTGTCTTCCAAAGATCAGTATATCCCATTCCACATGCTGTCCTTCTACGTGACATGGGCACTCTGCCATCTTTGGGGTCTGTATTTGTTTCTGTTTCTGCTTAGCAAATTACTGCAAATGTAGCAGCTTAAAATAGGACCCATTTATGAAATCACAATTCTGCAAGTGTGACTGGGTTCTCCATAAAGGATATCATAAGGTGTTGGTCAAGCTGAGCTCCCAGCTGGAGACTCTGGGGAAGAATCTACTTCCAGACTTTTTCTTGTTTTTGGAAACACTCAGTTCTTTGCAGATTGAGGACTGAGGTCCCCTTTTCCTTGGAGGCTCTCAGTTCCTAGAGGCCACCCACATTCCTTGCCACTTGCCTCCTTCCATTTTCCAGCCAGTAATGGAATATTGAAATCTTCTCATGCTTCAAATTTCTGACTTCCTCTTCTACAACAAACCAGAGAAAACTCTCTACTTTTAAAGAGTTTATGTGATTATGTCAGGCGCACTGGATAATCTTCCTCAATAGAGACCTTAATTACGTCCCTCAAATCCCTTCACAGCAGCACCTGTTTGAACTGTTTGACTGAATAACCAGATCATCTTAAAGAGTTCTGCCTCCTTGCAAGATCTATACTCCCTTCCCTTGAATCTAGACGAGACAGTGAGTGCAGCAGACGTGACACTGTGTGACTTCCAAGTCTAGGTAATAAAGCAAAACAGCTTCTTCCTGGTTCTTTCTTGCTTAGGACATATGTCTTGGGAGCCCCGAGTCAGCATGTAAGAAGCCTGGCTACCCTGAGTCTGTCCTGCTGGAGAGCACAGGAAGAGTCTGCACACAGAGATGCTGAGAAGCTCCTGCAGGGCCAGCCCCCAGGGTTGAGTCTTTCCAGCCCAGGTGCTGAACATGTGAGTGAGCAAGACTTCAGATGACTCCAGCCCCCAGCCTAAGAGCCGCAATGACCCCAAGTGCAGCAGAAATGAGTTATTCCCACCAAGCTTCTGAGCTTTGGGGAAGTTCAGGATGCAGCAGTAGTATCTGGAACACAGGCTGAGGGCGTTGTCTTGTGGAAGACATCCCTAGTCAAGCCCAATCAGAGACCTTGGAGGACGGTAGCGGCTGCTGACTTGTGGAAGGTTCCTTATTTTGTCTTGGAGCATTTTTTTTTCTGCATTTGTGCCTATATTTTTCACCATCTGTGAAAACTTCCAACACAAAACCCACGTCATTTTTGTCTTGTTTCCCTCAGTAATGAACACGTGACCTGCTAAGAGACTGAGGCAGATTGTTTGCAAAAACTGGCCTCTGTGATTGCCCTCCCTCAATCCATGTCCTTGCCATGGGATTTTGCATCTCCTCCTATCAAGAGAAGGAGTCTGTTTATCCTGCTCTTGAATCTGGCTGAAGTGGTGACTTGCTTTGGCCAAAATCATGCAGCCAAAGTGACTGTTCTGAGCCCAAGCCTTAGAAGGCCTTGCATTATCTTGGAAACTTTGCTTAAGCCAGCTGGTTGGAGGATTCGAGTCATGTGGTTCTTTCAACCCCGTCACCCCCAACCAGCATGCAGCCAAGCCCCAGAGGTAGAGCTACCTAGCTGACTCGGACTGGACCACAGATGCTTAAAGGAAAACAGAAATGCCCAGTCTAAACTGCCAACTGCAAACCCATGAGCTCAATAAATGGTTGTGATTTTAAGCCACAAAATTGTGGATTGCTTTGCTCCAAGCAAAAGTTAACTGATAGAAAAGCTAACCAACTCTTTTAAAGTGGATCCAATTGATTCTCCTTTCACCTCCTTTCTGCCCCTTCTTAATCCCAAAGAACAAACGGGTCCAAATCCAAGTTCGATTTGCAATAGGAAAGCTTTATTGAGAATTTGAGATCAGACAGGGAGTGGGGTCACCCCTAGACCAGACAGAGGAAGAGAGATCTCCCCAACCCCCCAGAGGAGGGGGCCAATGGGAAGCCAGAGGCTCAACTGCCCAGTCAGCCCCATCCCAAATGGGCCCCAGGACTCATCGCCACAGTGCAGTGGGTAGGCTTCATCCAGGATCTGCCCGTTTGGGGGATGCTCAACTGGGTTAGGGCCACAGAGGTTTACAGAGGTTCTAGTATTGTATCTGGTAGCCTGTAGAGAAAGAGAAGGGAGGTGAGAGTGAGAAGAGAGGACTTAGAGCAGGAGACAGACAGACTGGGACTTGGAGAAAAATGGGCTAAGTGAGAGCAAGGAGATTGAAGCTCAAAGAGCTGAAGAATCTTGAGATGGAAGGATCCTGGGATCCTAGCGGCCCCTACCCAATTCCTGAAGCTCTCTTGCAGCAGCTGGCGGATGCTCTCACATTTCAGAGGCTGGAGCCTCATGAGGCAGACCCTCCTCCATTCAACAGCTTTTTGTTTTTTTAAGTAAATGCTTTGGATATTGAGGTAACCTCTGCCTGAAGATGATGCATAAAACCACACCAGACACTCTAGAGAAGGATGGCTCCCAGGCACCCTAAGGCTTTTCTGAGCCAAACATTCCTAGTCATGTTACCCAGACTTTTGCTACAATCTCATATTAAATTTTTATTTTACGAGGTTCAACATGCACAAGGGGAAACTGTCTCTGACTAAGAGACCACTTGAGCTGTGCGGCTCTTTCTTGCATTTAGATTATTATCTTTAACATATGCTCCTTTTGGTAGTTTCATCATATAACTGACTTATACAAGCCAGTCATTGACTACACCCCTGAACCTCTTTTCTACCTGAACCATGGTTGACCCAGGAGTCCCCATCGTCATGATGATTCAAAGCACTGGGTCTGGAACACCCCCAGGGCTGAGCTCTTATTTATGAGTTTTGTGACCTTGAGTAAGTTACATAAATTCTCTGACCCTCATTTTCCTTATCTCTAAAATGGAATAATAGCAACACCCACCTCATAGGGTGTGGTGGGAAATAAATAAGGTGATACACAATTTCTAACCCATCTCCTATGCTACTGAGACTCGGGCCATGTGTAAATTTGGTCCTAGCCTCACCTAAAGCTCTGTCAAAAATAGTGATAAATTCAGAAACAAGGGCAAGTCTATGGCACCTCACTAAGATGGATTCTAAAATCTAGCTCTGTTTAGAATATGTATTCCTCAGAGAGGCACAAAGATATTCAAAAAGTGCAGTACCTTGACAGGTATCACCTGTGCCTCCCCCACCCCTCACAACCTAGAGTTGTCCCTTACCTTGTGTCTCACAGCCACCAGATTTTGAGGAAGAGGACTGAGACTGGGATGGCCTTCCACTTCCTCCTCCAGATCCACTTCCTTCTTCACAGCTGCCTCCACTTCCCCCTCCAGAACTACTTCCTACACAATAGCTGCCTCCACTTGCTTTTCCATAAGTGCCTCCACTTCCACCTTGAGATCCACTTCTTCTGCCACCTCCAAAGCTGATTTGTCCTGTTCCATGAGACTGACTGAGAAGAAAACACAGATATGAAATGAGTAACCTCACATATATGTACAAGAATGAACCCGGACAGAAGACCCAAATGTAATGTGAGTCCTCCTAAGTCTTTCTTCCTGCAAAGCAGAGGACAGAGGCTGGGCAGATACCACAGCTGGAAGGGGAGAGCCTTTCTCTCCCTAGAGCAGAGAGCTGTCCCTTCTCTCATTGTTACCATCCTCCTTTCCCAAAGCCCAAATGCCCTGAGGTTCCCCCCATGGGAGGAAGAAACCCGCAATCCATCAGACCCTTGTGTACAGGAGCTTTCCCAGCTGCCTCTATGCAGAAGAACAGAAGGGTTCCACAGAGTCCTGGGGCACGTACAGGTCCTCCTGGCCGCCCTCAAGGAGGCTGCAGTAGGTCTTAATTTCCTTCTCCAGCCGCATCTTGGTGCTGAGCAGAAGGCTGTACTCCTGATTCTGGCACTCAATCTCTGCCCGGATCTCAGCAAGCTGGACCTCCAGCATACTGATCTGCTCCTGAACCTGCTGCAGCAGGAGACTGTAACGTTTCTCTGTATCTTCCAAGGACTTCTCCAGGGCTGATTTCTAGGGAGCAGAAAGAGGCTCTGAGAGGGATGCTACCTCATAACTGCTCCCCTTCCTGCCCCCGGGGATTGTGCCCAGCCTTCCGTGTCCCACCCTGGTAGAGGGTCCAGGGAAGGAACACCAACCATGCTGAGCTGAGCCTGCAGCTCGATCTCCAACTCCTGGACGCTGTGCCGAAGCTTGGTCACCTCCTTGTTGTTGGACTCCACTTCCTGGCCATAACACATCACCTCCTGCTCGATCTGGCTCATCTGCAAACACCAAAGCTCAGTGAGGACCAGGCTGGGCTAGAGGCAGTAACGGGGAAGGCTCTTCCCCACTCATCAGCACCTTCACCTCCAGAGCCAAGATGGGGACAATGCCAAGGACAAGTTGTCCCGAGCTCTGGGTCCCTCCAGCCAGGCAGGATTGTCCAGTTCTCTTAACTTAACATTCCCTTTCAGCAAGGCTTCAAGACTCTTCACAATTTATCTCTTAACTCCCTTTTAATGTTATTTCAAACTGGCCCCCCAAATACACACACACACACACACACACACACACACACACACACACACTACAGATCATCGCCTACATGTGCCACGCCTCCTACACGTAGATGAGTGGACGAC